CAGTACTCAGGAGGCAGAAGCAGGAGAAACATTCCTGGGTTCAATTACAACCTGGTTTACACAGTGAGTCTCCACCCACCCAGGGCTACGTAATGAAATCCTGTCTTAAAACCAGAGATGGCAAGATGGTACTAGGTAAAGGCACTTAGCACAAAGGTAAAGACTGAGTGGTACCCACAGGGGAGAAAGAAAACACCAGCTCCCACAGCTGTCCTCTGACCACATTGGCAAACGCTCACACGCATATGCAAATAAATGTAAAAAAATATTAAAAAGAGGTGAGGCCTATTAGAAGTTAGTTAGGTCACTGGTGTTTAGGTAGTTCTTCCAAGAGTGGACTACTGGGCTGGAGATGCGCTCAGAGCTAGGTCCCCAGCACTATAAGAAAGAAAAATAGGGGGCTGGAGAGATGGCTCAGAGGTTAAGAGCACCGGCTGCTCTTGCAGAGGACCCAGGTTCGATTCCCAGCACCCACATGGGAGCTCACAAATATCTGTGACTCCTGTTCCAGGGGACTTGACACCCTCACACAGACAAATGTGCACATTAAATAAATAAATAGAAAGAAAAAAATAAGTAGAAAGCTTGCCAGCTCTTCTTGAGGTGGACATGGTGGCACACACGTGATCTCAGGAGGCAAAGAGAAGAAATAGAAGGAAAGGACTGGATTGTTACAAAAAGTGAGCCTAACCATTAAGTATGTCTGGCTCCCTCTCTTACTGCATTCTGTGATGCATCCCTGTCCTGATGCCATCTACCATTACGACCCCACAAAAGGACAAACTGAAGGGACTCCTAACCTTTCAGTCTCCAAAACTGTGTGCTAAATAAATCTGTTGTTATCCCTAACCTTGGGTCTCTTATAGCAACAGAAAATGACTTCTGTATCTTCTAGGAACTCAGGCTCAGAGGTCAGTGAGCAGGAAGTAGTCAGTGGTACGATGAAGGGACAATACTTCCCACTGACTCGGGAAACCGGTCCTTGTCTGTCACCACTGTCGCAGCATACAATCATGACCCTAAAAGACGCTGCTCCCTGTGGAGAAGGCGAGTGAGCAAATGCTGTACCTAACATAGCCGCAGCAGAGACCCAGGGCCAGTCTGACAGGCAAGAGCATCGCTCCAGAGGTGGGACAGTTGCCAGGCCTTAGCCTTCAACAAGGCTTCCTTCCGATCAATGGGACCTTCAAGGTAGAAGGGGCACAGACGCAGAGGCCAAGAGGTGCGACGGTACCACAAAACCCCAGAGGGGAATGTGTGACAAAAATCAAGTCTGTTGTGTATGGAGAAGAGAGCTAGACAAGCAGACTGAGGGATTATGAAAAGCCACAGAGGCCAAACCAAAGCAGTCCTAGCTCTCGGGAGGAAACAGCCACTGGTGGGTTTTGAAAATGAGTGGCCCAGCCGGGCGGTGGTGGCGCATGCCTTTAATCCCAGCACTTGGGAGGCAGAGCCAGGCGGATCTCTGTGAGTTCGAGGCCAGCCTGGGCTACCAAATGAGTTCCAGAAAAAGGCGCAAAGCTACACAGAGAAACCCTGTCTCAAAAAAAAAAAAAAAAAAAAAAAAAGAAAAGAAAAGAAAATGAGTGGCCCACGGTTAAATCCGTGCTTTAAACTACGAAGGAGTGTGGAAACCAAAGGGGTAGTGGGATGGCAGGACCACAGCGGCCCAGGCCTAGACAGCCCAAGCCGAGCGGTGATCTGGGAGAGGGGAGGGATGCAGGCAAAGACAGGCTTGGCGGGGTGTGGCGCAAGGCGCAGCTGGGGTCACTGGGGTGCGTAGTACCACACAGACCCGGGAGAGTCGGGGGCCGAGGTGGGGGCACAAGTTGTATAGTTGAGCATTCTTTCTGGGGTTTGTTTGGTTGGTTTTGGTTTGGTTTGGTTTTTCGAGACAGGGTTTCTCTGTGTAGTTTTGTCGCCTTTCCTGGATCTCGCTCTGTAGACCAGGCTGGCCTCGAACTCACATAGATCTGCCTGACTCTGCCTCCCGAGTGCTGGGACTAAAGGCGTGCGCCACCACCGCCCGGCTAGTTGAGTATTCTTTAATGGTTTCTTTTCTTGCTTTCTATATTTCCATTTTGCACCGAGTTATTCAGATAATGTAGTGAGCCCTCAATCATCCCGGCGGGGAGCGCGGCGGGGAGCGCGGCGGGGAGTGCGGTGGGGAGGAGCACGGCGGGGAGCACGGCCCCAGGCAGGTAGGCGTGGTGCTGGAGCGCTCACATCTTATTCACAAGCTGGAGGCAGAGGAGGCAGGGCTGGGTCTGGCATGGACTTTGAAACCTCAGAAGTCTACCCCCAGTGCCAGCGAGGCCACACTTCTTAATCCTTCCCAAAACAGTTCCACCAACTAGGAACCAGTCATTCAAATACAAGAGCTTATGGGGGCTATTATCGTTCAAACCACCCCATCATCACTCCCAAATTTTCTTCTTAGCCTTACATGTAGTCAAACACCCACTTCGCCGTGGTACCACCACCACACCCATAAAGTTGTTGATCACATGAAAAGGGGGAACACATTTTGGAATGATTCCCAGTAGGGTTAACCTTGGAAAGTTGAAAAGAAAAATATGAAGTCTAGTCAAGGAAAGTGGGCCACCCCAGACCCTTGGATTAAGAGCCAGTCCACAGAGCTGGAGAGATGGCTCAGCAGTTAAGAGCACTGGCTGTTCTTCCAGAGGTCCTGAGTTCAATTCCCAGCAACCACATGGTGGCTCAAAACCATCTATACTGGGATCTGATGCCCTCTTCTGGCATAAAGGCATACATGCAGATAGAGCACTCATAACATAAAATAAATAAATCTTTAAAAAGAAGAGTCAGTGCCGGGCAGTGGTGGCGCACACCTTTGATCCCAGCACTCAGGAGGCAGACGTTTCTCTGTGAGTTCGAGGACAGCCTGGTCTACAGAATGAGTTCCAGGACAGGCTCCAAAGCTACACAGAGAAACCCTGTCTGGAAAAACAAAACAAAAAAGAGCCAGTCCACAAAGTAGAAAACATGAGTAGGATTTACCATATCAAGGATATATAAATTCGTGGAAAAAAAAACCTGCCAGACAAAACATAGTCTTATCAATGAAAACTCCAAAGAACAAATATACTCCCTTTCAGAAAAATTTTTTTTTTTTTTTTGGTTTTCAAGACAAGGTTTCTCTGTGTAGCTTTGCGCCTTTCCTGGAACTCGCTTTGGAGACCAGGCTGGCCTTGAACTCACAGAGATCCGCCTGCCTCTGCCTCCCGAGTGCTGGGACTAAAGGCGTGCGCCACCACTGCCCGGCCAGAAATCATTTCATTAACTAATCCAGAGAAAAGCTAGCAAAACTTACCCTTGCTTGAGCCTTTCAGGACTTTCACCCTGTTTCATGGTTCACCCTCCTCCTCTGACCCTGGGTTTACAACGTCCTGCCCATGATTTTGACAGGAGTTGACTGCTTCCTGCCATCTAGACCTCAGCTTTGACATTACCTCCTCAGAAGGCCCTCCCAAGTCACTAATCTAAAGGAATGAGACACCTGCTTAGCCTGCAGAGGCCAGGCTCAAGCCCTGGCATGGCAAAGCAATCCAACGGATTGCAAAGCACCTATCGCTTTAACAACATCTTTATTAGATTTATTCATTTTATGTTATGTATGTTTGCCTGCATGTATGTATGTGCACCATGTGTGTGCTTGGTGACCATGGAGGTCTGAAGGGGACATCAGATTCCCTGGAATTGGTGTTACAGATAGATGGTTGTGAACCACCATGTGGTTGATGGGAATCGAACTCCAGTCCTCTGCAAGAGCAACAAGTGCCCTGAACTTCTGAGCCATGTCTCCAAGCCCCAAAGGTGGGTTTTCTTAAAGATATATTTTTATTATTTTATGTGCAAGTCTTAGTTAGGGTTTCTATTGCTGTGAAGAGACACCATGACCACGGCACCTCTTGTAAAGGGAAAACATTTAGTTGGTGTGGCTTACATTTTTAGAGCTTTAGTCCATTATCATCATAGTGCAACATGGTGGTGAGCAGGCAGACCGGCCTTTATCTCCACTTGCAGGCAACAGGAAGTGGTCTGTCACCCACCTGCCATGCGGGTGCTGCGCCCACATGGGGTCCTCTGCATGAGCAAGTGCTCTTTGCACCTATCACTGTTAGTTGTGGCCAATTTCATTTCATTTCACACCCTTCTGCTTAGCTCTGTTCCCCCTCCCTCCTCCAACATTTACCTTCAAGAACCTTGCCCCATGTTGGATGCTGAATCCCCACGGCAAGCGGGGAGTCAGGCACTTGGCAAATATATAATAACCACTTAGTGAATAAAATGGAATGGTGAGAGTTATAAAAAGCAAGAATTGTGCCCTAAACACATTCTAGGAGAAGAGGATGAAGTCACAAGATCAATCCCACCCAGAATATAAGAACCCTGTCCCACCTTCCTCTCCTCCTGCCTGTACCAGACTTTTTTTTTTTTTTCGAGACAGGGTTTCTCTGTG